TTCCGTTTGGTCGGTGGATTATTCCTCCACCGACCTTTATTCAAACTAGTCTAGATTAGGGTCGATGGAGTACTTTTGTAAATATTCCGCCATCGACCCCGAACACACACCCACACGATCTCAAAGTTCGAGGGGTGATGATGACGTTATATTTCACCCTCACCCCTCGCCATTCACGCTAAAAAGTACATGCACTCAGACAAAATATACAGACACACAACACATAAGATGTATTATATACAGTAAAAAAACCCAATTTCCCCTAAAAAGCGGAACAGAGGATCCAGAAACCCGCTGCCGTGCTCGAGTACCATTATCAGATTGGATGGCATGCCTGCACGCTCCCTGTAGGGAGCCAAGGCATGACATGTTTCCAGTATGTGGGACACATCGTGCAACCTTTCTCTACGTGAATATCCCTATTTATTTTTGAGCAGTGTATTTTCGGTAATTCATTTTTTTTCCTAGGAATAATTATTGGGACAAAGCAAAAATAAATTATCTTTCTATAATATTAAAAAGGTTTTGGCTGAAATCTGACAGAGAAGGACCTATACGATTTTAATGGTGTAAAAAGAGAAAATAGGGGGACGAGTACAAGTAACGTTTTAATAGAATTTTTCATCTTTCACTTCTCTCGCTATTTTCTCAGTTTAAACTTTAAGAAACCATGTCATAGTATACATCGTTGGAAAAAGGAACTTTTTTTGCGGAAAATAAGCTTATTTTGAAATTTGTAAATTAAATTGCAACACTTATAGCATGGATGCGATGTCCATTTCCCGTTAGATCGGTCGTCCTGATTTGTCCATACCATGACGTGCTGTCCCAATTGGCCAGAAATAAAAAGAACACAATTCATTCCCCCCTGGCACAACTGTTTCAGACATTCCTACATTTGTTTGCCGTTTGTTTTATCAAAAGTGTCTGACGTTATTGAAATCATTGGAAATTTGGAGAGGTCCATGCGTACATACAATTTGAGTTTCAAAAGAGAGGATTACCGTATATGCATCTACTAGTTCCCTAGTTAGTAGGAAATTCCGAATAAAGAATCTGACCCTTCATTATGGTTTAAAGTGATAAAGCGTGGTCCTCACGTTAAACAGTGTTGGGATGAAGACACATCTGTTCGAAAAAGTTTCCAAAATCAATTATAGAAGCTACCGATATGACAAAACCTGGTTTTCCACCGTACAAACGAAGAGACAACCGTTTTGACTGTAACACATATAATGGGAAAAAAGGAGCACAAACGGTTTACGCAGACAATTCGATGATTGCACCTTACATTTGACTGTCAGATTTATGTTGAGTTTTGTGCTTCTGTAATGAGTATCAAATACATTTACAAATATATAACCTATCACCTATCGTAAAGGTCATGATAGAGCGTCACCGTTAGTAAAGATGATAGTACATATATTTTATATACGAAGTGCAATGTAAAGTGCGTTGCACTTAATGAAATTACCAATGCATGTACGGTCACACAACGTTGAATTAAGTTCATTTGCCCCAGGGCAAAATCATATTACATTTACAGAGGGAAAGGAACATGAAGCGTTGGCGTAGAGTGAGCAAAAACAAAACTATTAGCTTATTTTAAATGAAATGAAACAGATAAGAATGCTCGGCAATTTACGTTTTGGGGACCGCGGTAGCCGATTGGTTAGCGTGAGTGACTCTCGGCTCATAGACGCCGCGGTCGTGGGTTCGCTTCCCACCGTCGCCTCTGGCCTTTTTTTCACGATCCCCCCCCAAATATTAAAAAAAAAAAAAAAATGAAATAGCAAGTACGTAAAAACAATTATAAAGTTTTAGCACGACTGAACATCGTTTCACCGAAAGAGAGAGAGAGATGTCGAACGTTTTCGTCTGAAACTATTCCTTAGAGACGCAAAAGCTATTACAAGTTTGGATGAATTGCGCACGATAAAAGGAATATTGTACTTATTAACAAGCAGCGAGAGTGGGACTGTGCGAATCGGAAAATTATATGTTCAAAATGATGAGCGATGTTGCTTCAGAAATGATGCCAAATAGGTTGAGACATTTCTCTGTTTACTATTTAGTAGCTGGTGGATCTGAGAAGGGCAGGTTGTCTTGTAGCGTTGAGACGATGAATCGTGGCCGTTTGTGTGCCGTTGGTAGAGGTCCATGACTGAGAGAAGCGTTGGCTCAGGTCCGGGGCCGTGAGTCGGTTCTGCAGCGGTTGAAGGGATTCTGGTGCAGCAGGTAGCCGAGTGCAGCATTTGGCCAGTAGCCAAGACGGCTGTGTTGAGAAGGCGAAGTCGAGGCTGATGCCGCGAGTACCCTTGCGTCGTGTCGGTGTTCCATTACTGATTGGCGAGAACACGTAGGCTAGACGAGTGTCGAAATGTAAATTGCGGACTCGTCGGAGAGAAGAGTCTGATGACTTTGAAAGTCTGAAGTCAGTAGGGCAGTGCCACTGCTTATATTCGAAATGGCTCTTCTTTAATTGACGCAAATCCAAAGTAAATTTTTCCATAAGGTTGTATTACCCCAGTGGACATCTGCCCGATGCCATGCAACGCTACCCTACTCTACTCTCTGCGATCCCCACTGTCCAGATTTTCATCAGGTAGCATCGAGTACAGGCGAAGACAAAAGAACCAGACACTCATATTTTTATTCAAACTATTATTGTCGTTTTATTAATTACAACATACTTATTTTAATATAAACCAAATTAACCGAGATCAAAAATTCATTAGTTTTTATTTTAAAAAAATTAATTTTAATGGTTTGGTAGAAAACTGATCAAAACACCGGAATACCATTTTTTGATATAATGAATATAACTAACAATTTATTACACGGTTTTACTTATAAAATTTAACTAACAATTTATTTCGTAGTTTTGCTCATACAATTACACCATTTTCGTCGAGTAGCATCAGAACAGGACACTAGATTTTTGTAGTTTATTTCAAGAAGATGAAACAAACTCGAGTTCTTAACTTATTGTAAGACAATCCACATGTCCAATTATAAACCAATGCTGCTGGAACCGGAACTAGCAGGCAATTGTACTACTCTACTAGTCTTTTTTATTTTCACCATTTCGCACTTCACCTCTATAAGGTGCAAGACAAAGATAGGGATTAAAATATAATGCAAATTTAAAAAAAATGCAGTTTTTTTTAATGGAACATTTCACAACTTGCTCATTTCTGCCCCGAGCGCATGCGAAATATTACAACACACATTCAGTACGCATTCACGCAAATAAATACATTCACACGTATATACATTGAATTCATTCTATTTGGTGATGGAGTACTCAATATTCCTCTATCGACCTGCATACAATAAAAAACTAATCTAATTGGGGTCGATAGGGTACTTTTATAAATAATCCGCCACAGTTACGTACACAGCTCGAGGAGCGATGGGAATGGTCTTCAACCATCAGCCCCTTCCCATTCACTCTAATAAATACACTCACTCAGACAAAACACAGAAACACAAAACACATATTTTGACGGCTATATACAATAAATTAATTCCCAATTCCCCTAAACAGCGGAACAGGGGACCCTGCAACTCGCTATTGTGTCCAAGAACCATTCTTAAATCCGGGGCATGCCTACACGCCTCTGTTTTGTGGGACACATCGAGCAACCTTTCTCTGAACAAGGGGCACCTGCGCGGTCTTTGGCCCGTGTGTCAACCGCGTACATAGAAAATATTGTTTTCAACGAAGCGTTGGAGTTATTTCTAGCGATCCTGCCAAAAATCGTCTAGTGGGGGGGCTCCACTCGCTAACCCCGGGCTAACCCACGGCAGCTAGCGCCCTGCTAGCTTTTTCGCTAGGGGATGAGTGGTCAATGAAATAAAAGGGGAAAAAAGGGTTGGTGAGCGAAGCGAGCAGGGGCGGAGCAGGCCCCTAGTAAAGAATTAAAATGTAAAAAGGATTGCAGAAATGTATTTTTCAATGGCTCTCTATTGTTTATCACCCTTCCCACATAAGGCGGAAATTAAGGGATGTTGAGGGTTAAAATTCTTCCTTTCCTTCTTTTCTTCCATCTTTCTAGGGAATAATATATTTAACGAAGTTTTTCGTCAGAGTCTACGCATTGAAATGAAATACCGATGCCGTTTGGTAGCTAGTATTGACCCGCTTTGCCGTCTCATTTTCGCCAGTTTGACCTCCTTCTTCATTTGCTCCACCTTTAGTTTTCAGAACATTGGATTTTTCATCAACAAAAAACTGCTTTATTTTTATAATTGTTCATGAAATATGAAGAACTTGATAAGTTGATAGGACAAAGCCCGAAAACTTTTAAGAACTTATCTATACATGTAAATATAAAATGCGTTCATATCTAAAACACCACATGAAAATTAATTAAAACTGAAATTAAAAGTTACATAACATTAAATATAAAAACAAATTATTTTTCTGTTAATTTCAGATTTTTTAGTTAGAAAATATTTGTAGTTGATAAAAATAATTATCCATGTGGTATTTGAGATAAGAACCTAATTTTTTCGAGTTCTCAAACCCTTTTTTTAATTTCAACCTAACACTTTCTTTAAAATATTTTAAAAAATTAAGAAATGGCATCATGTAAAATTAAATTCCTGTAAATTTCCAATTTTTTAATATAAAATAATTGTGCTCTAAGATATATTGTGAAAATAAAGAGTTAATTTGAAATTTAAAATAGTTTGAAGCTAAAAAGGGTTAATGTGAAATTAAAAAATAGTTAATTTTAAATTAAAAAGGGTTAATTTGAAGTTAAAAAGGGTTGATTTGAAATTAAAAACATTAATTTGAAGTAAAAAGTGTTAACTTGATGTTAAAAATGTTTAATTGGAAATAAAAAAGATTAATTGACGGAACAAAGCTATACATATATCCCTTAGCGTTTTTTAACTAGAATTTAAATAAAAATTATGGTTTTTAAAAATGGTTTGTCCTTAGGCTCAGAGTTTTATTGTGATTAACTTTTTTGTTGTATCTATTTCAGAAATCTTGTGTACAATGTCAGCATAACTGATTTCTCAGAAGCACAAGTGAGTAATCAATGATATTTACTTTATTTAAATATGTTTAAAAAAATATTTTGCAGAGATTGGTTTGGTACTCGCCTGAAGAAGCTGTGAAAATGTGTGTTGTTAAAGGAAAAGATGAGGTAAAGTTTGATTTCCTATGTCCAAACATTTTTTTTCTTAAGCTTTAGATAAGTACGTACCAAATGTTAAACTTAAACAACCTTTTATCAATCTTTTATTTATAGGACAATTGTCAAAATTATATAAGGATAATTGCAAAGACAGAACAAGGAAATTTAGTTCTTTGCGGTACAAATTCTTTTAAACCTGTGTGTCGGGAATACTCGATTGCTGTAAGTAAAAAAAATATATATATATTTAAAAAAATGGAAAATTTGAAAAATGCTTCTAATTTATTTTTCTTTACAGGCTGGTTCTTATAATCTCATAAGAGAAAAACCAGGACAAGCAGTCTGTCCATATGATCCACTTCATAACAGCACTGCAGTTTATGTCGGTAAATACATTTTATATATAATTATTTTTATTTAAAATTGTAAATCTCTACTATGAACGTTAAGTTTTCTAAATATAAAAATTTGATTGATTTTTTAATTTTTTTTTCACCCTGAAAAACTTTGCACAGGGAAATTTTGTAGTTGGACCTCTTTGCATTCATTCATTATTATCTGATGTCTACCATGTAATTTTTCAGTGTAGTGGATTGACATATTATCCACAATTTATGGAAGCAAGCATCTGCCAGAGGCATGCTGTCCCTCCAAGTTACTCTCCATCTGCTTAGACATTCTTCCCATTTTTTCATAAACCTTTGGCTACTGGATATTTGGTACATGGTAATCAAGACCAAGAAGACAGAAAAGCAGAAAGAAGAGCATTTTTTAGTGTTACTCTAGATGGTTGTAGTCCCTGCCCTGTTGTAGTATGTTTTTTTGGTCTTCTCTGTAACCTGCCGGTGGAAGAGCACCATCTTTGATCAGTGTGGATCGCAGGGATTCCAATTTTGCAATTTTTTTTAGGGATCCAATTACTGCCTATCGCCCCTCCCCCGACTGGTGTCTTAGAGGACTGTATTGGGGGGGGGGAGGACCTGGTACCCTAGCATTCTGGATAACCCCTGGATTTTATTTGAGAATAACATGAAAAAAGTGTTTTACCCTAAGGCAGTTTGACATTAAGACTCCCTGTATGACATAGGAATGACCCTTCTTTTGGGACCTTGGTTAGGTCATCCGAATCGTATTTACCAGGCTAGCAGTTCTGGGTCTGAATCCTGGCTTAACCTTCTGGTTTTATTTGCGAATAATATGATAAATGTATTTTAAAGAGTCGTTCATGACACCCAAAGGAGTTTTGATGTTCAGCTTCCCTGTATGACAGTAATTGTCCCAAACTTTTTTTGGGGACCACAGTGTAGGTTGTCCGTCTCTTATCTGCCATGCTTGTTGTTCTGGGTTGGCATCCAGGCTTAACCCTTGGAATTTCATTTGAGAATAATATGAAAAAAGTACTGTAAAGTGATTTGACCCCTTATCTGCGACACCCAAAAGATGTCCTCCTGTATGATAGGATTTACTTTACTTTACTGGTGTCATATTCTAGGCTTCTTAGTCCTGTTTTTATGAGTGCTCCATGGTTATGGGAAATTGGTTTCATCTTGTGTTGAAAGTTCTCATAAAGCTATGATTTGACTGGTGGAATCTGTGCAACTTTCTCTTTAATATTAACAGATCCTTAAATATAGCCAGTGTTGGTCTGTCAGGCCCAATTTCAGGTTTATCTCCCTGGATGATTTAGCATTAGATTACCATATGATGGATGGTTTATCACAACATGGAGAAATTATTAAACCATAATATGAGTTTATATACTTATCCTACTAACTAAATATTTTCAAAAAATGATGAATTTTTCTAGATGGGGATCTCTACACTGGTACGGTGGCTGATTTCTCTGGCATGGACCCCATTATTTATAGAGAACCTTTACAAACAGAACAATATGATTCTATGAGCTTAAATGGTATATCTTTTTTTTATAAATATTATGTAAGCACAAATAAGAATATATATTTTTTTTCCTATTAGCTCCAAACTTTGTCAATTCCATGACCCAAGGGGATTTTGTGTACTTCTTCTTTCGAGAGACCGCTGTTGAATATATCAACTGTGGAAAGGTTAGCTTGCTTTTATCTACTCGTTTATAACTGTTTATAATTTTGACTTTAATTATATATTATTTTATTATTAAGGCTGTGTTCTCAAGAGTTGCAAGAGTGTGTAAATATGACCGTGGAGGCCCGCATAGGTTCCGCAATAGGTGGACATCTTTCCTGAAGTCTCGTTTAAATTGCTCAGTTCAAGGGGACTTTCCATTTTACTTCAATGAAATCCGTAAGTACTAAATGAACACACACTTCATAATGATCACTGTTAACCACTTATAAACTTAGATTTTTAATATACATTTCTAATATTTAATTAAATAAATGTCCTGAATATCTATCAACTTTTTTCCCACATTCCTTATCCAAACACACCAATTTTAATTGTGATTAATTTTTCATTTAATTTAATTTGAAAATCCCAAATATTATCTATTAAAGAAGTTCTCAAATTAAAAGAAGAAACCTCCATTTTTATATTTACATTTATATTTTTAATTTCAATTTCAGTTAATTTTTTTATGGTCTTCTAAGAGTGCTATTATTTTATACTAAAAAAATCACAGGTATTTCAATTTACATGCTTAATTTCATACGTCAGCGTTAAAAAGGGTCAATTGAAATTAAAAAAAGGTTAATGGTAATGGGTTAAAGTTATTGAAAAGGTTAAAACTGGTTCATTTGAAATTAGCAAGGTTTATTTGGACAAAAAATGGAGTTAATTTGAAATTAAAAAGGTAAATCTAAAGTTAAAAATAGTTTATTTAAAGTTCAAAAGGGTTAATTTGAAATAAAAAGGTTAATTTAAAGTTAAAAAGAGTTCATTTTAATTTTAATTTTTTTAAAAATTGTAATTTGAAGTTAAAAATTGTTCATTTGATGGGAAAAACTATAAAATACATATACTTGCACACAATCATATTATACTTTTTTTTGTTGATTAACTCAATTATTAACTCATTAATTATTGTATAATATTTGCCATTAAATTATAAATTATTAAAAAATTTACTTCATACACACAATTGCAACAATTTTATATGTATGCAATTACAAAAGGATAAATAAAGTTTATAAATAAAGTTATTTTATATTTTTCCCCTTAAGAATCTACAACTGAATTGGTAGAAGGGACTTACGGATCTGTAACAACTCATCTTCTGTATGCTGTATTCACAACTCCAATTAACAGTATTGGTGGATCTGCTGTTTGTGCCTTTGCTCTTCAAGACATTACAGATACTTTTGAAGGCAATTTTAAGGAGCAATCTGAACTCAATTCAAATTGGCTACCTGTGCAAAGTGTAAAAGTACGTACATATTTAAACGTCTCATATGGCTTTTTTGTAAATTTGTTTTAATATATGATTTTACAGGTGCCTGATCCTAGACCAGGGCAATGTGTAAATGACTCAAGAACTCTCCCAGATTTAACGCTAAATTTTATAAAAACTCATGCATTAATGGATGAGTCTGTGCCTTCCTTTTTCAGACAACCAATTTTGGTTAGAACAACTTTTCAGTGAGTATTATTGTTTATTGTTTGAGATCTTGAAATCAAACGTGCCAAGAATAAAATGAATTTTTCAAGCCAATAGTGAGAATTTATGTATTTAAATTCCTGTTTTGTTTCAGTTATAGATTTACACAAATAGCAGTTGATCCTCAGATAAAAACACCTGGAGGGAAATCTTACGATGTACTTTTTATAGGAACAGGTACCAGAAATGACAATTATTCTTCTTCTCGAGTTACATTAATATATATTTTTTTGTAGATAATGGAAAAGTCTTAAAGACAGTAAATGCTGAATCTGCCGATTCTATTCAAAGAGTGACACCAGTTGTAATAGAAGAGCTACAAGTATTTCACCCAAATGTGAGTGTCAGGAATTTGCAAATTGTCCGAACAGCAGCCCAACCAGAAGGCAGGCTCATCGTTGTGTCAGATTTTGAAGTCCTTTCTCTTCGCCTGCATCGTTGCGACAAAGTCAACTCTGGTTGCAGGTTTGTCTTTTACCAACAATAAACTATTTAACAGTTGGTTAATTTTTTTTTAATCATCCCAGTGAATGTGTCGCACTGCAAGATCCCTATTGCGCTTGGGATCGTCTTAGTGGTAAATGCAAATCTGTAGGTGCTCCTAGGTGGAATGAGGAGAAGGTATTTTACCAAAACATACAGCACGGAATACACACATCTTGCCCCTCCAGTTAGTAAAAATATGATATTTAACTATTGATTTGTAATTAATAATTTTTTTTTCCTATTGAAGCGGGGAAAGTACAAGGGAAAGATGCTCTTTCACAGAACGTTGGCTTGTCATCGCACAATCCCAGTCAAAAAATTGATGTAGAACGCAAAGACATTGGCGATGGAGAAGTCATTAACATTATGCAAGAAGACGATAATCATTATAATGGTTTGTATTTGGTTAAATGAAATTTCAGTTGTTTATATTTATTTTGACTGGCATTCTATTAAGTATAGTTGTCAATTTACTACATCTAAATACACTCCCAGTCAAAAATATCTTTTTAAAAATATAAAATAATTTGTTTGTAAAATTAATATTGTGTATGTTTAATAAATCTCAAATTATTAGAAGGAACATTTGTGTTTATATTTAATTTTATATTACTTTTAATTTTAATGGTACTTAATTTACATATGGCCTAAGAAACCAATTATTTTATATATTAAAAAATCTCAAATGCAATTTTTCATTATGTGCTTATACTTAATACCAAATCCTAAGCATTTTTAATGGTTTAAAGAAATTGTTAATTTAAAGTTAAGGTTTATTTCTACATTTATAAAAAAAATACTAATTTGAATTTATAAAAGGCTAACTTGAAGTTAGAAAGGGTTAATTTGACCAAAAAAATATATGAAGCCATCTTATATTTTCTCTCTCCCTCTCTCCCTCTCCCCTTCTTTCTCTCTCTCTCACACCCCCTCTCTCTCACTCTCCCCTCTCTCCCTCTCCCCCTCGCTCTATCTCTCTCACGTTCCCCCTCTCTCTTTCTCCCCCTCTCCCTCTCGCCCTCTCTCTATCTCTCCCTCTCCCCTTCTCTATCTCTCCCTCTCTCTCTCTCCCTCTCCCCTTCTCTCTCTCCCTCTCCCCTCTCTCTCCCTCTCCCTCTCTCTATCTCTCTCTTTCTCCCCCTCTCTCTCCCCCCATCANATGCTTTAGTTTTATATTTAATTTCTTATATTTTTATTTTAATTGTAATTAATTTTCATATGGTCTTCTAACAGTCAGTTAGTTAATATTTTAAAAAAAATTAGAGGTATTTTACTTTACATGCGTATATTTCATATCATCCTAGTTTTTTAATAGTTTAGAGAAAGGGTTAATTTGAAATTAAAAATAGTCAGCTTGAAGTTAAAAATGGTTAATTCGAAGTTTAGAAAAGAGTACTTAGAACTTTAAAAAGTTAAACAGGATTGATTTGACGGAAAAAATCTAAATATTGTGTAAATTAAACAGAATTTCTCTGATTAGACATTTTGAGGTGATCATTGTTACCAAGAATTCTTTGCTATCTTTCTAATTGTTCTATATAATAATAGTGTCATTACAGTTATTATTGTTATATCATAAGTTATTAAAACATAATTTACAGGACCAGAAGTTAGTGCCGCAGACAGTGCTGCGTTGCATTACACCATAGAAACTATGGCTATGTCCGTGGTAGCAGCATCTCTAGCTGCACTATTAGTAGGCTTTGTGTCTGGCTACTTATGCGGGCGTAAATGTCATAAAGACGATGACGACAACTTACCCTACCCAGATACAGAATATGAATACTTTGAACAAAGGCAAAATGTCAATATGTAAGTTTTATAATATATTATAAAGGTCCAATTACTAAAGTGTATTTTAATATTTTCAGGAGAATGCCAACCGAGCCGAAGTTGTTACCACAAGAAGAAGTTACCTATGCAGAGCCAGTATTGGTTCCGCCTAATAAAAATATGAATTCTCCTAAAGCTACATTGCGTAAAAATGAAAACCTCTTCCAGTTTAACGATAACTACCAACCACCTTATGCCAGACCGAACCGTGATCATTTTGGGACTTTAAGATCTCAACGAGACACAGCAAAGGTTGTTACAACTCAATTTACAAAACAATCTCATTACAGAAGTCTAATTAATTGTGTTTTTTGTAGAATGAATGCGCTGGTATGGGATACCGTGATGGTTTTGGTACAACTCGCTCTGTAAAAAAGGTTTACCTCTGAGAGACAGGTGGGGAGGGTGGGCGAAGTCTGCCTGGGCGTGCTCGAGCTAGTCGTAGGCACCCCTTGGCCAGCTCCCCACCCTCCAGTTCTTCCCCATCTCCACCATCCTCAAGCCCATCCCCACCACACACTCCTCCACATCCTCCTCAACCTTGCAGCTATATTTACAGGGCGTGAACCCCGGACCATAAGTCAAGTGCCAAATGTTGTCTCATAATGAGCATGGACATGCAACTATGGGCTAGTTCCTTTTTGTGAAATATGAGTAAAATCCAATTCCACACCGTTTAATACTGGATTGGAAGTCCTTTAAAAAAGTACATAATAAACATAAAGCAATTTGTGACAACAGGAAAATATAATAAATTATATCCCAAGTATAAAAATTAATGATATTGTGTATGTAAATTTTTTTTTTTCAAATTGACCGACTTTAAGCTTTAATATTATAAGATAGTTGTAGGTCTATGTATATTTATAGACAACCTTCTAAGGAAGAATTAGAATTCAGCTGACCGCAAGTAGTGAGTCACAATGCCTTCTTGTTGAATTTGACAGTTAGTATGTTACTAAATATGTGGTAAGCCTTAACGGCTTTGTTATTTTATCTTGTATGAAACAACATTATTACTGAAAATGTTTAAAAATTAAAAATATATACAGTCACACAGGAATATGCACATAAGATTAATGCTGTGATCATAATTATTTTCTAGTTTGTTAAAAATATATTTTTGCCTTTAATAAGTAAAGTCCTTGTAAATTCAACCTTTCTGGAGAAGTTCTGTTAAGCTCCCATAAAGAACTGTCAATAAATAAAGATTTTTTATTATTTCTTTTTTTTAATATAAATAAAAATAATACATGCAAAAGTAAAAAAAAAAAAGAAAATACTATCCAGTAACATTTTGTAACAGTACACAAATTTGGCTCAGGTGCTTGTACATTCTGTAAAACAATTTGTAAACATAAAGCTGCTACATTAAGCGCATACCACTTTCAAATTAAATTTGTAAAAAGTGAACACTGCGCAAAAAACAAATTGAACGTTTTTAAAATTCAGGTTGTTTTACATATACACAATTATTAAAAATAATTTAGAAATTTCATTTGCTTTTGTACTCTATGGCAGCATAGGGGATGCCTTAGATACATTTATAGAATTCTTATATGTACAGACTCATATTCTATATCATAACTGATTGTATATCTCATCCAATCTGGAAGAAAGTAGGATCACTGGATAATGTAGTGTTTTTTGTTTTGTTTTTTTCCACCACAAACAATTTTTCATTCATGTGATTGCACATTTCTGTATATAGATCATTAACCCTGATCAGTATTGATGTTAATATATTTCATTACTTTATATTTTTTTTGCATGAGTGCTTTTGTTGTGTGCAACTCGTCCACTAGTAGAGCATTAATTATATAAACAGCAGCAAACTATTTATAATATTTTAGTGATATGGCATATATACATATATGTATGTATGTGTGTATGTATGTATTTATGTATAAAAACATAGAAAAATATATATTTACATAATTGTTACTTAGAGTATTTGGAAACAGTGCTATTTTATTGGTAGCTCTCTGTCATGTGATATGCACTGGTGACTACTGACATATTCAAAATTAGTATAATAGGACGCTTTTGATTTTTTTTTCTTCTTTTTTATTTTTTGCATAGACTATGTCTGATAAATGAACAGGGCAGTTATAGATATGTTGACTTTTTTGCAAATAGTATTTAATAATAGTTACTAGCTATATATGAATATATTATTCAATCTGTATAGGTTTTAATATATAGGTGGTAAACAAGACTGATAAGTTCATATTGGTTTTTATTTTTAATCTTTTTTTAATGCATTTTGCAAATTTTGTAAACAAATATTTGTAATTTATGCACCCTATGAGATATCAATTTTTAAACTTCCTTGGATTATTTTCTTTCTTTTATAGAAATAATCTGATTAATTGATTAAAAATATGGAAGGGGATTTGGGCACTGCATTTAAAATATTTACATATTTCAACTATATCATAGCCAATATCTATTTTAAAGTCTTGTGATATTTTGCCAGCACATAAGGCACAAACAATTGTAAAAATATTATAGCAAGTGGTAGCGAGTTTGATATTTAGCTGTGTAAATTATTATATCTATGAAAGTTTATTTTATTATTTATAAATTTTAATTTACAGACTTTTTTAAAATCATTATTTATTATATTAACATTTACGGTGCGAGTGAGTACCATAAAAGTAAAATGTGTATAGTTTTGGGAAAAGTGTTAAAAATTATAGTTCCAGTGGTTAAACCAGACAGTGCCAGACTATGTTAAGTGAATTAGGGTTCTAATATTCTTGGGATGATATCAAGCAATTACATAAAATTACTTTTTTACTAATATACTGAGAGAGGGTTTGACTGCAACAAATTAAAAAAAAAAAAAAAAAATTGTACGGTACAAACTAATGTACCTTATATTGTACTCACAATATATGTAGATCAAAAAAAGTTCTTTTATATGTTTATGTTGCACTATATTCAGGAAATAAAACAAAAATAAATACAAACTATAATTTGCCAGTATTTTTGTTTTTCAGTAGTTTCTTGAAGTACTAGAGAAAAAATATTACCAAATTTTAATATNAATGCAGGATTTTAAGTTTTCATTAAAAAAAATCTATATAAAATATTCTGTTTACGTTTACAGGATTACTCATTTGTATGAATGTCAACACTTATTAAATATATATATAAAATAAAAATGAAACTATTTGTACATATTTGTCCTAACTGTGTCAATTTTCAGAACTGGAATTTATTCATATTTAGACGCCCTTTGCAAACTCAAAATCATATTTGAGTAAATGTTCTAGTCTCTTAGTGAAGAAACTGTTCTTGTCAAAACTGAAATGCAACCACTTTACAGCCCATCTACCACGATAAAGTTAAGAATTGCACGATCGTTTTATTCGGGGTTGGGGGGGGATTTTTTTATAGAAACAAATGTGCAGTTAGACTGTGTGATTTATAATATAACGAGGGTAATTTATTTTAAAGGAAATTAATTTAAAAAATTGATTGTGTAACACTTTCAGTTTAATCTTCCACGTTATTCCGCTAATTTACTTTCAATTTTAATAATGTACAGTTACATCTTGCAGTATACCTATTTACCTTCCCACTGGTATACTTCAAAAAAATATTGTTTAGATTTTGTTGTATTCAGTTACACTTAAAGCTCCTTAGGGATATAGAATAAGTATGAATTAGGACTTGTAAATATATTGACTAATATATTGACTAATATGTATATGTGAGTACTATTAATAAAGTATATTGTAATGCTTCTTCCAAATTCAGTGCCGGCAAAAATACTGTTTTTTATCTTAAATAGTCTAGTTTTTTTGTAATTATTATAATATGGAAGTGGAATGAGATTGAAAAATAGGTTAGGAGAATTGTATTCGCTAACATTAGCATTGATATTAGAATTGAAATATACACTTTAACTAGTTTTGGCTTTTAAAAAGTAGACAATTTATTTAATTCACTCCACTTTTAGAACAAAACATAATAGTTTTTAAGAGAGAAAGAAGTTGGGTATAATAATAATCTAAAAATTTGTATTTTGAACCTTGACTATTTCAAATATTATAAAAGAGCACTTATATAAAAAAATAATTAAAAAATTAAAAAAAAAACATCAAGGGCCCATATTCAATCATTTATACACAATTCTTACTGTATTGTATTTGCAGAAATTAGTTTCCATTTCTTGCTTCTAATCACTTCAAAAACATTATTCTTTCTAATTTAACGTATAACAAATTGTCAATAAATAATGTTTATAAAGACTATATTAAGTGGACAAGATAACATGTGACATTATTGTTTATGTTAAAGAAAACGTCAGTTTGTCAATGAGACACTTGATAATATATTAAAAATAAATAAACAATCGATAAAAAGGAATGCAAAATTATTTAATCAATTATTGTTAGTTATCAATCAAGCCAAATAATACTGTAGAAGGGATTGATTGATACAATGATTAGGATAATTAATGATTTATCAGTCATTCTTTATTTAAAAATTAAAAAAAAAAACAGTTATTTTGTACAAAGATTGTTAAAAAAACAAAACAAAAAAACAACAATTTTGATTGTACTAAAGCGTGTGTCTTCTGTTTTTCTGTATATTATCTCTTGTGTCTCATTTTATTTTTGTTACTGTTAAAACAATTATCATCCAATTAAGCAATATTTAGTTTAGAATTGAGTATACTAAGCTTTACTTAGAAATAAAAGTGTGTGGTATTATCCATAAATAGTTTTTTTTAAAGTTGAATTTTTGTAAAAACAAATGAACAATCAAACACATATACGCAAGCGTATATCCTGTGCTTGTATGTGGGTGCGTATAAATAAAATAGCCCAACTTCGAAAGAACAAAATTGTTTTTTAAATCTTCAGTCTTGCACTTTTGTTACAAACATATATCTATTTTAGAACTTGTACTGAACCAATATCACCATTTAAAAATATTATAAAAAAAATAAATAAAATAAAATTAAAAAATAAAAATACCACAAAATGATCCCTAGCAAATACTTCTGTTCTCACCAGTTTAATTTGACAAAGAATAAATATTTTTAAAAATGTACACTAGCAAACATTTTTGTAATTTAAACTTTTAGCGGCTTTAAAAATAAATTATAATTCTTTTGAATGATTACTTTTTTTATTTCCTTGCATGACTTCAAATTCTGTTTTTTCCAGCCAGAGCAGCTAAGGTTGTCAGCTCCTCACATTTTATCTTTCTTGCATTTGTTTATTACCCTGTTTGATGTTTAACCCTTCCTTGTGCCATTAAAATGTCCTAAGTCAATTAAAATACACATTCATTCTATTTAAAAGAATATCTAAGTTTGGTGGGTCTCAAGAGTAATTGATAGACTGATTCTCATCCACACAACAACGCTAAAATTATGTAAAGCTTAAATCTATGGTGGGGAGCCCAGCATGACGATTTCCACCTTGATGCCCTTCCTTCATTCACGCTAATAAATGCATTCACACACACCACAAAACTCATGCATTCACTACCACAAGTTAACCTAATTGGTTTGAATGGTTTGTGGGTACTCAAATTCCACTCGAAATACACACACATTCACACATTTGGATAGTCACCCGTCCAGTGGCGGACTACTACTCCTATCACACTGCAAATGTACAATGATGGTCAAAATAAATGCTCCACTCTTAAATATTACTGTAATTAGGTTTTTTATATTTTGAAAAAGAAAATTGGATAGAGAAAAAAAAATCAAAAACAAATAAAAATTAAAAACAAAATGTTTACACCTCGCACAAACGCCTTTGCATTCCTTCGAACAAATTTCAGATAAATCCTGATTAATTTGTTTTCCATTCGTCAAGAACAACCGTTTCCAACTCTTCTAGGGTATTAGGACCTGCGTGTCGCCATCGTACTTGTCCCAAATATGTTTGATTGGACTCAAATCTGGACTTTGAGCTGCTAACACCAAGCACTCAATTACAACCTATTCAGGTAGTCATCCACAATATGTGCTCTATGGGGCCTGGTATTATCCTACATTAGCAAGATTCTCTCACTGATTTGGGGGGGGGCAAATGGCACAACATGTTCTTTGATTATGCCACATGTTCCTGTGCCTAGCCATTTTCTGAACTGTGGTAAGAAGAGGTCCACTAGCCGGGTACCCGGCCCTGAGTTTATTTTCATTGCGCCTTCTTCTTACAGTCCTGGAGAAAATCGAAACATTTCAGACTTGTCTTATAAGATTTCTTATTTCATTTTTCGTGATGCTGTGGTTTCGTAGAGCCTGATGACTGATAAGGGATTTTTAAACGCTTTAACCCTATCAAGATGCCATTAAATTCATATGAAAACATTACCATCTCCTTTACCCTTTATAAATCTCTAAACTTTTCTAGAGATAGAAAACCAAGATCTTCTAAATAAAACTCTTGAAACCTTTAATATAACTCTTGGTTTTTTAAAAAATGCAGTAGAAAATTGGCTATCAAACTAAATAAAAAGTGAAAATACAAAAACCAGATCAATAACATCCCTTCCTTACATAAATCACCCAATCTCTTCTCAAACCAAACAATTCCTGAACAGCACACAAAGATTGATCAAAAGATAATAACAAAACAAAAAATAACCTCCTCAGCAGCTCCAGAAAACTTCCTGATACTAAAAAATTGCAACCAAAAATAAAGCCCCCATCTTAATCAAATAATACTTTTTCCATCGACAAAATGAAATATTCACAAATGTCAATACAATTTCAAGAAAAAATATATGNTTAAAAAAATTGTAAATTATAATAATAATAAAAAACAATAGAAAATTTAATTAAACGACTATCAGGTGGTTGGGCTGCAGAAAACACACTTAAATTAAAACATGATCAAGGTGTGAACGTAAGGTGTTATCTGTGGTTTGAAAAGTCTTTGAAGATGGAATCATTGTAAGATAGGAGGAGTGTGCTTGATGATCAGAGACAATACACCTTTTACACATACACATTAGATTAATTTTACAGGTTGTAGCCGAATTCTAAAGCCTGTAGAAGTCATGATTTGCTCTATACAGTTACCTCCTGGAATAAATGAGTCAAGAGAAGATTTAAAGAATTTATATGATCAGTTGACAAACCTAGTTCTTCTGATGGACGATTTCAATGTGTCCTCTGTGGGGTGAGACTAACATGGACAGGCATATATGAAATATTAACACACTTAATGATACTTTCTCTCCTGTGAACCTCCTGATTTCTGTGCGAGGTTAGGAAATCATTCAAAGATTGATGTAAGCTTATGAAGCCCATACATTCAGCATTTATTACAATGGAGAACCTTAACGGATATACACGGTAATGACCATTATTTAATCACCGTTGAAACAATGGCCTCTGTTTTGTAAAGACCAACCTCATGGAAATTATCAAAAGCTGATTGGGTTAGTTATAAAGATTTAGTATCTCTAGAACAACTGCCATTAGATGATGATAATACTAACCTGAACAAAAATAAACGCGCAGGAAACTGTTCCACGTACGAGGTCAAAAGCAACCTGTTCCTTGGTGGAATGATCAATGCAGCAAAGCCATCTGAAGTCATAAAAAAGTCCTAACAAAATTTCTACATCAGCCATCAACTTGGAACTTTGACCATTATAATAAAGCTGAGACACAGCAAGTAATATAATAAAAAAATTGTAAAAGAGTCTCTTGGATAAACTTTGTGAGAAATACAAACACTGACACGCCAATCAAGTATATCACAGACCTTACAGATTGATGGAATTCTTATGTAAGACTGGATTGATAAACTTAATTTAATTTTTGTATAAATAATTTGCTGTAATTTAGGCAGCTTTAACCCTAGTGGTTGTTAGCCTT